ATTTGAACTTCTTGATCGTCAACACTCGACAAGTACTTTACCGGATTATTCCGCATATAAAATTTATTATGTACAAGTTCCCCAACGTTTCGGACTATGATCGATCCGTCTCCAGGGAGCGACATATTTCAGACACAATGAGCATATCAGGTACGATATGACCCTGAAGACAGATCGATCATAATCCGAAACGTTGGACAACTTGTACATAAATTTTATATGCGGAGTAATCGCGTAAAGTACTTGTCGAATGGTGAATTAATTTCTCACATAACAGAATCCGCCTTCTTTTTTAAAGTTCTTCATGATCTCTTCAATATACGAGAACATTCTTGAAGACATTCCACGCAGTCTTCAGGGGGCAACCGTGTTAGCTCTTATGCTATAAATGGGAGCAGTATGATACCACAATCAATAGCGTTTCTTGCAAGTCATGTTTCCTCGCTCCACAGTTTTAAGTCGGTGGAATTACATGTGTTCGTGATGGTAACAGCATTGTGTATGTAGTCGAGACTCGGAACCACTTGATTACCTTCCAGAAGTTGCTGTTCTCACCACCCAAAGGGAAGGGACTTTCAAAATCGCTTGATCACCAAAATTTGACCGTTGACTGGAGCATGATTTCAACTGTACTCTACTGAATCCCTTTATCTGACTAAGCGAAAACTTTTCTTTGCTAGTGAATCATCAAAATATTAAAATACACACTTTCCAGCGTAAGGAAAAGAATCGTCGGTAAAGCCGTTCGGATACGGTGTCAGTGGGACCATTTTTCGTTTAACGGGGTCGAAAACGATTTGGTATAAAAACGTATTTTCCGCTTCGATGAACCGACTGATATACTCATCCGTTACGGTGACCTTCTTCATTCCCAGGTACTTTGGTATCTTTGGCAAAACCTAAACAAGAAAAAAATCAACTACTCGCATAGACCTAAATTTCTCATCAGAGAAAGACTAAGGTTATGAGAAGAAAATGAAAAAAGAAAAAGAGATAAGGACTATATACAACGATTCATTTTTATCAAACAGGAGTCATATTCAAAGGAAACAAAAACAGTAATCAGCAATCACGCATAGTCGTAGAGTATTAAGCAAATAACTGTAGGCAAAATTGATTGTAAGCCTAAAGTTTCAGTATAGTTCGGGAATCAACATAATATTTCACCATGCGGTGAAAGATAACAGGAGAATGCGGCGAAAATATTATATTTCTACAGGAGTCATAGAATTGTAATGGGCATTAATCGTTAGTGGACGATTGATGGAGTTCATGGAAATGCATCGCATAGCACTATTCTTAAGGTTTCTTAACATTCTATACGGCTAAAAATTTCAATACAAGTTTTGATACATAATATATACGCCACAGAGTAGAAAAAACCAAGTTTCGAGTACAATGTCCAACTCCCCGGTACTGTTTGGCTGCAACTGGTTCCCATGTACGTTTCAGGATAACTTGAAGTAGTGACATCTATTAAAATCAATGAACAGGATGAGTCGAAACTGCTCATTTGTACATTTGCAATGAGTTGATTGTACAACTAATAATAACAATTTTAAGATATTAAAAACTATGATAAATTCCATACTTATATTCCTTGATTCATCCATCCTGGGTTCAGGCTTCGATGCAGTCAGCTGAGAAATATGATGGTGAACTAACCTTCTACCTGCGAACAACAGGGACAGTATTGTGATCTGACATTGTTTCTATTTTGTCATCTTCATCTGAAATTGACCTAGCTTAAACACCAGAGTAACCAGATTAATGTCTGGATGTAAGAAATGGTACTTCAGATTGATATTACGCAATGTTTATGGTGAGAACAAAGATTATATCCTCTTCGAACGCCAGTCTGTCTCAATGAGCTCTTTATACGGTTTGTACTATCCTCAAAACGTCAACGGTCTGTGCACGGTTCCCCATAAAGAAAGGTTCTAATGTGGTTATGCGCAAATGTGCCAGGTATACGGCAATGCTGT